TGGGACAATCCCAGGCCCCTTCATCTGCCTCCACACAGCCTCCCGCCACCAGAATCTACCACACACTGGGACAATCCCAGGTCCCTTCATCTGCCTCCACACAGCCTCCCGCCACCAGAATCTACCACACACTGGGACAATCCCAGGCCCCTTCATCTGCCACCACACAGCCTCCCGCCACCAGAATCTACCACACACTGGGACAATCCCAGGCCCCTTCATCTGCCACCACACAGCCTCCCGCCACCAGAATCTACCACACACTGGGACAATCCCAGGCCCCTTCATCTGCCTCCACACAACCTCCCGCCACCAGAATCTACCACACACTGGGACAATCCCAGGCCCCTTCATCTGCCTCCACACAGCCTCCCGCCACCAGAATCTACCACAAAGTGGGACAATCCCAGGCCCCTTCATCTGCCTCCACGCAGCCTCCCACCACCAGAATCTACCACACACTGGGACAATCCCAGGCCCCTTCATCTGCCTCCACACAGCCTCCCGCCACCAGAATCTACCACAAAGTGGGACAATCCCAGGCCCCTTCATCTGTCTCCACACAACCTCCCGCCACCAGAATCTACCACACACTGGGACAATCCCAGGCCCCTTCATCTGCCACCACACAGCCTCCCGCCACCAGAATCTACCACACACTGGGACAATCCCAGGCCCCTTCATCTGCCACCACACAGCCTCCCGCCACCAGAATCTACCACACACTGGGACAATCCCAGGCCCCTTCATCTGCCGCCACACAGCCTCCCGCCACCAGAATCTACCACAAAGTGGGACAATCCCAGGCCCCTTCATCTGCCTCCACACAGCCTCCCGCCACCAGAATCTACCACAAAGTGGGACAATCCCAGGCCCCTTCATCTGCCACCACACAGCCTCCCGCCACCAGAATCTACCACACACTGGGACAATCCCAGGCCCCTTCATCTGCCTCCACACAGCCTCCCGCCACCAGAATCTACCACACACTGGGACAATCCCAGGCCCCTTCATCTGCCTCCACACAGCCTCCCGCCACCAGAATCTACCACACACACTGGGACAATCCCAGGCCCCTTCATCTGCCACCACACAGCCTCCCGCCACCAGAATCTACCACACACTGGGACAATCCCAGGCCCCTTCATCTGCCACCACACAGCCTTCCGCCACCAGAATCTACCACACACTGGGACAATCCCAGGCCCCTTCATCTGCCACCACACAGCCTCCCGCCACCAGAATCTACCACACACTGGGACAATCCCAGGCCCCTTCATCTGCCTCCACACAGCCTCCCGCCACCAGAATCTACCACACACTGGGACAATCCCAGGCCCCTTCATCTGCCTCCACACAGCCTCCCGCCACCAGAATCTACCACACACTGGGACAATCCCAGGCCCCTTCATCTGCCACCACACAGCCTCCCGCCACCAGAATCTACCACACACTGGGACAACCCCAGGCCCCTTCATCTGCCACCACACAACCTCCCGCCACCAGAATCTACCACACACTGGGACAATCCCAGGCCCCTTCATCTACCTCCACACAGCCTCCCGCCACCAGAATCTACCACACACTGGGACAATCCCAGGCCCCTTCATCTGCCACCACACAGCCTCCCGCCACCAGAATCTACCACACACTGGGACAATCCCAGGCCCCTTCATCTGCCTCCACACAGCCTCCCGCCACCAGAATCTACCACACAGTGGGACAATCCCAGGCCCCTTCATCTGCCACCACACAGCCTCCCGCCACCAGAATCTACCACACACTGGGACAATCCCAGGCCCCTTCATCTGCCACCACACAGCCTCCCGCCACCAGAATCTACCACACACTGGGACAATCCCAGGCCCCTTCATCTGCCACCACGCAGCCTCCCGCCACCAGAATCTACCACACACTGAGACAATCCCAGGCCCCTTCATCTGCCTCCACACAGCCTCCCGCCACCAGAATCTACCACACACTGGGACAATCCCAGGCCCCTTCATCTGCCTCCACACAGCCTCCCGCCACCAGAATCTACCACACACTGGGACAATCCCAGGCCCCTTCATCTGCCTCCACACTGCCTCCCGCCACCAGAATCTACCACACACTGAGACAATCCCAGGCCCCTTCATCTGCCACCACGCAGCCTCCCGCCACCAGAATCTACCACACACTGGGACAATCCCAAGCCCCTTCATCTGCCTCCACGCAGCCTCCCGCCACCAGAATCTACCACACACTGGGACAATCCCAGGCCCCTTCATCTGCCTCCACACAGCCTCCCGCCACCAGAATCTACCACACACTGGGACAATCCCAGGCCCCTTCATCTGCCTCCACGCAGCCAAATCTGTCCCACCCGACGCCAAAGTGCCCAGCGGTGCTATGCGCTTACAGGCCATCTCAAAGGGCACAACCAATCGGCCAGTCTGTGGGCATGCACAAGGGAATCCACCCTCCACCAAGAATGGAAAAAAGGGGGCACCTCCACTCCCTCACAGGGGCGACCCAACTGTCCACAACACCCATCCATCTCTATAATCTATGAATATGATTACTTTAGGTGGAATGTTGGATTCCTGCACATCTATGGGTATGACGGGGACACATAATATCATGGTGGCTACAATGTGATATATGGAGTAAATCCCTGGAATACACACCACCTAGGGGTAGGCGCCATCTTGGTTTGTTTCCTCGCCTTCCCCGTTTCCTGTTAGTCCCCTCTTCTTCCTATCACCTTCTATCCTTCTCTTTGAGGGTATTATGTCTACAACCCTTGTGTGGAAGAAGCATTTGGTGGTACCGTATATTTATGTTGTAGAATATCGTCCCTCAGATTTATTTGCTATCACCATATGAGGCCCTTTTTTTGGATTTTACCATCATATGGTTCCAAGTATTCCCTTGGGAATTTCTGGGTTGTGATCCTGGAAGGGCGTATTGTATGACATCATTGTTACTCGACTTTTAGTCCTTTATATGGAACTTGGGTGATCCTCTACAATGGTGATCCCACGGTTGGGTGAGTACATTGCTTCTTCTGGTTCATGAAGGGGTATTAAATATCTATGGATTTGATGTGGATATCTGAAGGTGATATATTTAGAATTAATTCTATATTGTTTCTGTTAGAGGTACCAATGCCAATGTCGTCTGTATACAAGACATCAGTGGAGAGGACCTTTCTCTGCCATGTCCACCTACCAGACCATCCAGTACTATACTTTATTGATTGGTCAATACTACATTGGAGCATGCTCTGTTTATTGTGTGAAACATGTTATATTGTTTTACTATATTGTTTGTTTATGTATTTTATACATTGTTATTTTCTTTGTTTATATCTAGCTTGTATCTACATATCCTCCTCGTCCTGATGAAGCCATCTCATTGCAAAACACTATACATACACTATATTGCCCCAAGTATTGGGCCGCCGGCCTTCCCACACACATGACGTTTAATGGCCCCCAGTCTTAGTCCATAGGGTCCAATATTGAGTTGGCCCTGCTCTTCCCACGCACATGACCTTTAATGGCCCCCCAGTCTTAGTCCGTAGGGTTCAATATTGAGTTGGCCCTGCCCTTACCACACACATGACCTTTAATGGCCCCCCCAGTCTTAGTCCGTAGGGTTCAATATTGAGTTGGCCCCGTCCTTTCCACACACATGACCTTTAATGGCCTCCCAGTCTTAGTCCTTAGGGTTCAATATTGAGTTGGCCCCGCCCTTTGCAGCTATAACAGCTTCAACTCCTCTGGGAAGGCCGTCCACAAGGTTTAGGAGGGTGTCTATGGGAAGGTTGGACCATTCTTCCAGAAGCACATTTGTCAGGTCAGGCATTGATGTCAGGGGAGGAGGCCTGGCTCGCAGTCTGCGCTCTAATTCATCCCAAAGGTGTTCTATGGGGTTTGAGGTCAGGACTCTGTGCAGGACAGTCAAGTTCCTCCACCCCAAACTGGCTCCTCCATGTCTTTATGGACCTTGCTTTGTGCACTGGTGGGCAGTCATGTTGGAACAGGAAGGGGCCATCCCCAAACTCCTCCCACAAAGTTGGGAGCATGAAATTGTCCAAAATGTCGCCTTAAGAGTTCCCTCCACTGGAACTAGGGGGCCAAGCCCAACCCCTGAACAACAACCCCCTGCCATAATCCCCCCCCCACCAAACTTTACACTTGGCACAATGCAGTCAGGCAAGTACCGTTCTCATTGGCAACCACCAAACCCAGACACATCCATCGGATTGCCAGACAGAGAAGTGTGATTGGTCCCTCCAGAGAACACGTCTCCCTTGCTCTAGAGTCCAGTGGCGGCGTGCTTTACACCACGGCATCCGACGCTTTGCATTGCACTTGGTGATGGAAGGCTTGGATGCAGCTGCTCGGCCATGGAAACCCATTCCATGAAGCTCTCTACGCACTGTTGTTGGGGGCTCATCTGAAGGCCACACCAAGTCTGGAGGTCTTTAGCTATTGACTCTGCAGACAGTTGGCGACTTCTGCGCACTGTGCGCTTCAGCATGCGCTGACCCCGCGCCCTGTCATGTGACATGGCCTACCACTTGGTGGCTGAGTGGCTGTTGTTCCCAGTGGCTTCCACTTTGTTATAATCCCACTAACAGTTGAGCGTGGAATATTTAGTAGCCAGGAAATGTCACGGATGGACTTATTGCCCAGCTGGCCACCTATCACGGGACCACGCTTGGAGTCACTGAGCTCCTGAGAGCGACCCATTCTTTCACCAATGTTTGTAGATGCAGTCTGCATGCCTAGGGGCTTGATTGTATACACCTGTGTCCATGGAGGGGATTGGATCACCTGAATCACATGATATGGAGGAGATTGGAACACCTGAATCACATGATATGGAGGGGATTGGAACACCTGAATCACATGATAGGGAGGGGATTGGAACACCTGAATCACATGATAGGAAGGGGATTGGAGCACTTGAATCACATGATATGGAGGGGATTGGAACACCCGAATCACATGATAGGGAGGGGATTGGAACACCTGAATCACATGATAGGGAGGGGATTGGAACACCTGAATCACATGATAGGGAGGGGATTGGAACACCTGAATCACATGATATGGAGGGGATTGGAACACCTGAATCACATGACATGGAGGGGATTAGAACACCTGAATCACATGATTGGGAGGGGATTGGAACACCTGAATCACATGATATGGAGGGGATTGGAACACCTGAATCACATGATTGGGAGGGGATTGGAACACCTGAATCACATGATATGGAGGGATTGGAACACCTGAATCACATGATTGGGAGGGGATTGGAACACCCAAATCACATGACATGGAGGAGATTAGAACACCTGAATCACATGATTGGGAGGGGATTGGAACACCTGAATCACATGATATGGAGGGGATTGGAACACCTGAATCACATGATTGGGAGGGGATTGGAACACCTGAATCACATGATATGGAGGGGATTGGAACACCTGAATCACATGATTGGGAGGGGATTGGAACACCTGAATCACATGATCACATGATATGGAGGGGATTGGAACACCTGAATCACATGATTGGGAGGGGATTGGAACACCTGAATCACATGATTGGGAGGGGATTGGAACACCTGAATCACATGATATGGAGGGGATTGGAACACCTGAATCACATGATATGGAGGGGATTGGAACACCTGAATCACATGATTGGGAGGGGATTGGAACACCTGAATCACATGATATGGAGGGGATTGGAACACCTGAATCACATGATTGGGAGGGGATTGGAACACCTGAATCACATGATTGGGAGGGGATTGGAACACCTGAATCACATGATATGGAGGGGATTGGAACACCTGAATCACATGATTGGGAGGGGATTGGAACACCTGAATCACATGATTGGGAGGGGATTGGAACACCTGAATCACATGATATGGAGGGGTCGGGGCAATACTTGGGGCAGTATAGTGTATGTGTACATAGCTAATATAGCAGTCCAGTAGAGGGTATATGTATGTTTCATCTCCCAGGATGCACTCTGCTGGATGTATGTTCTCCCTTCTCACATGTATCATTGCATGTTATTTCTGTAGTGACCGTCTCCTGATTTGATATAATAATCTCTCGTAATGCGACAATAACATCCGCACATATTGGACGCCAGTGGACAGTAGTCCTCTCCTCCGGATATTTCTTTTTTTTCTCCCCAGAGTGACAGAGGGATGAGCTCATCATTGTGCTGCTGCTCCTTTCACTGTCAGAGGGGCGGGTCCAGGGTGACCTGGGCTCAGAGGAAGTGGGTTGAATTTTGCTGCCCATCAGACTAGTGGCAGAAAAAAAGTACTGCAGGTACATTTCTGGATTGAAGGTGAATATTGCAGCAGAATGTGGTTTTGTTATTTTCTCGTCTGTTCATTTGTATTTTGCTGTCTCTGGTCGGAGTTCTGCTTTAAGGTGTTGAGGTTCCGTACAGCAGATTGGCGTTCTGCCTTCATACAGTCGGTTCATTTTCTGCTCATGGCAGGCGAGCGGGAATAGAAGGAATGATTGGACGGCTGACGTCACCTGACCGCCTGATCTCCCGCACGTAAAGCTGGAATCTCCTGTTTGCAGCGTGTGCAGATTTCCCCCTACAGACACCTTTCACCTCGAGGAATGTCTCTCTCTGTCATGCGGGTTCCTGTCCCCGGAGTCTGCTGCAATCATTACCAGTCTGAGCGTCTAGAACATCCAGCCCCCCATCACTGGGGGGGGGGTGACCTCACAGATCATGTGATGTACACAAACAGCGCAGACGCATGCACACGGTCCACGACTCCGGTGAGCTGTACCTGCTAGTGTCCCTGACAACCTTCCACACATAGGAAAGTTCACTGGAGAATGGAGAGACCGGCAGAAAACAACCGAGAAATACCAGGACATGGAGCAGTAAAAATAGGCAGCTGATCTGCAGATTTACCCCCCCCCCCAAGTGTATCTAAACTCAAAGCTGTCATATATAACAGATTACTAGCCCTTGGTGTGGTGGCTGCATTAGTTTTCCTTTTCCAGGTTTGCTTTTTTCCTGGTGATCCTGCCAGTATAGCACTTCCTGTCCCTGGGTGGCTCTATCACTCCTTCAGTATCTATGGGGGGATCCATGGGTCACCCTAGTCCTGCCTTGGCTGCAATACTTTGCTTCGTGGCCCGCAGTGATAATATACCCCATGTCATGTGCGGCTGCCAAATGAATGAGGTTTACACCACAACCCTTCTGCAAGCATGCGCAATGCACGCCGTTACAGCGCGATGATGCAACACCTCCCAGACACTCATGAAACACCCTCTGAAAAGCTGCGGGTCGTATCTCAGGCCAGGTCACACCCAAATCGCCTGCTCACTTCCCTGTTCCAAACATTGCCCCCTGATCTCTTCTGACGGGGGACGCAGGAAGCAGGTTGGGTGCAAACTTCGAACCTTGGTAGAACTTGCAGCCCAGCGATTAGCAGTACGAGCCCATTGGTGGTCTATCGCCCAACCGCCCCAATGTCTGGGATAAGGGTGGCTTACCTGCCTGCACTCTGCCCAATGACAGCATCCTTGATGGCCACTGAAGCACTCTCATTGGGCACGCTGCAGGAAGGTCTCACATTGGTGGTCTGAAAAATGGCTTCTTATACTGATGGTCAGTGAAAAGTCAACTCACAGTGATGGTCAATGGAGAAAGTACATTTACACCTGCCTGTCCATGGGGATGAAGGTACCTTCTGACCAGATCTGCCAAAAAAACTGACAGGTGGACCATATAGGAACGGTCATGTGAAAGGGGCCTAAGTAGTTAAACATACAGCTGGTGTCAATAGTTTCTTTTCTGAGGAAAAAAAGGGCAAAAACTTCTCATTACTGAAGGAGACCTCAGTGGGACCATCTGGAGGAACCCTGTGGTAAGAACCCTGGTAGAGGAACCCTCTGGGTGACCTCTGGTGGAGGAACCATCTTGAGAAACCCTCATGGAGGAAGCCTCTGGAGGAACCCTGGTGGAAGAACCCTCTGGAAGAACCCTGGTGGAAGAACCCTCTGAAAGAACCCTGGTGAAGGAACCCTCTGGAGGAACCCTGGTGGAGGAACCCTCTGGAGGAACCATTGTTGAGGAACTCTCTGGAAGAACCCTGGTGGAGGAACCCTATGGAGGGACTATGGTGGAGGAACCCTGGTGGAAGAACCCTCTGGAAGAACCCTGGTGGAAGAACCCTCTGGAAGAACCCTGGTGGAGGATCCCTCTGGAGGAACCCTGGTGGAGGAACCCTCTGGAGGAACCATTGTGGAGGAACTCTCTGGAAGAACCCTGGTGGAAGAACCATCGGGAGGAAGCCTGGTGGAGAAACCCTCTCTGGAAGAACCCTAGTGGAGGAACCCTCTGGAGGAACAAAGGTGGAGGAACCCTCTAGAAGAACCCTGGTGGAGGAACCACCTGGAGGAAGCCTGGTGGAGGAACCTTCTGCAAGAACCCTGGTAGAGGACCCCCTGGAGGATGCCTGGTGAAGGAACCCTCTGGAAGAACCCTGGTGGAGGAACCCTCTGGAGAAACCCTGGTAGAGGAACTATCTGGAAGAACCATGGTGGAGGAACCATCCGAGGAAGCCTGGTAGAGGAAACCTCTGAGGGAACCCTGGTGGAGAATGGTTGGCCTAGGATAGAACACACAGCCACCAGCAGGACCCTCTTGTTCAGTCTCAGGATTGGTAGGACCTGCCTAGTGGTGTCAAAGATTACCGTTCATCTGATATTATATGAAGCTACTGGAATTTTTTCCCTTCTGCTTCTCCCTTGTTTTTGATGGTGGGAACTCAAACATTGTAAACATGTTGCAGATATTGCAGTAGATTTCCAGAACTTTGCAGGTCTCATGTTACAGTAATGATAACAATTGCGTTTCCTTTTCGGAAGCCATCGGTGGTGTTTCCAGTGATGGATTCTACACAGATAGAGGTCTGCAGGGCCCTCAGCATGGCTGCACTTTTTTGGCTCTGGAATGGGCAGCTCATGAGCTCATGTGTCCTGTCTGCCAACTTCTGCTGAGAAGACTTGACTCTGCGTCCTTAGATGGAGCTCGCTGAGTGGAAGACATTCGTCTCTGATGAAGGAGGCTGGGCTGCTGAATAGAGGAAATGTAGAGCTGATTTCACACTGATGGAAGTGTTCAATGTACTTATAAAGACCGATAAATGTGGGAGTTCTTCTGTTTTCATGAATTTTGTATTTCTGCCCCGAGATTTCATTAAAGTGGCTGTAAAGCTCTGAGATGAAAAATGAACAAAGCATATCCTTCTATAGTGTGTACTTGCCTCAATCCAAAGCACTGAGTGTGATTTCTGTCTGAAAGAGCAAAAGATCCGCTCCCGGTGAGTGCCGAATCTGCATAACCCCTCCACAGACACGCAGGTGCTGGCCCCATACATGATCACAGATCTAATGGGAAAACAGAATGGTTGGCGGCACAAACAGCGATGGAATCCTTTACATGCAACAAGAACATGACAGCTCCAGGACAGGGCAGAGGAGAAGTAGACGCGTTTCACATGAACACGTGCCAAGTGATTTCTGTCTGCTCTCTCCTCGCTTTACTATCTACATGAGGCACTTCTGACTGGCTATGCTGATGCTAGACATTACCTGGAGATGCCCCCCCCCCCAGCACACAGCAGGTGATTGACAGCCTTAGCTGTGTGTGCTTCCCAGTGAGGCTGTGTAGAGGGGTGGTGTTCATTCCCTCCACTCAGATCTCAGAATACACTCAGCTCTCTGCTGTATGCTGAGCAGTTTGTGATGTCATATTCTCCCTTCCTGCCTTCTGAAAGCTCGGAAATGCCTCGTAAATTCTGGACTTTAAACAGATGTAGATAAGACTGCAGATAAACAGGTACAACTTATGTAGGTGGATTTGTGTATCACCTGAGGCCTGCACTGGGTATGTAAGCTACCTTGAGCCCGGGTTCACACTGACACAGTGCGGAATTCTCAGCGTTTTCTGTGTGAATTCTTCTGTATCCAGGGAGCCGCTATGTGCAGAGACGGGGGACCCCTTTATGGGGACTCAGCAGAGGGAAGAAAATGGAAAAATGATATCGATAAAATATACAGACAGACAGGGATTGTCTCCAGAATCTGTCCTCAGGACAACTATCAGTCGTCACTCCACAAATCTGCCTTTATGGAAGAGTGACAAGAAGAAGCCATTGTTGGAGGAAAGCCATAAGACGTCCCGTGTGCAGTTGGTGAGAAGCCATGTGGGGGCACAGCAAACATGTGGATGAAGGGGCTCTGGTCAGAGGAGACCAACATGGGACTTTACGGCATAAAAGCAAAACGATGTGTGTGGGAGAAAACTAACACTGCCCATCCCCCCTGAACACACCATCCCCACCGTGAAACATGGTGGTGGCAGCATCATGTGGTGGGGATGCTTTTCTTCAGCAGGGACAGGGAAGCTGGTCAGAGTTGATGGGAAGATGGATGGAGCCAAATACAGGACAATCTTAGAAGAAAACCTGTTAGAGTCTGCAGAAGACTTGAGACCGGGGCGGAGGTTCCCCTTCCAGCAGGACAACGACCCGAAACATCCAGCCAGAGCTACAATGGAATGGTTCTGATCAAAGCCTCTTCATGTGTTAGAATGGCCCAATCACAGTCCAGACCCAAATCCAATGGAGATTCTGTGGCCAGACCTGAAAATTGTTGTTCCCCAGACGCCCTCCATCCAATCTGACAGCTTGAGGGATTCTGCAAAGAAGAACGGGCA